ATCCTTTTCTCGGACTGGGACTTGTTCATATACGTTCTTGGCAGATGATTCAGAAGTGGTTTGCCATTGCCTTCTTTTGTGTGTGAATGGAGTAATTGTTGGGATGCCACGGAGGAAAACTCCGTGTTGCCTAGACCACGGCCTTGCCCAACACAAGTTATAAATTCGGGCACCGCCGGGAATCGAACCCGAGACCCCACCCAAGGATTACAAGGCCAGCGTTCTAACCGCTAGACCACCGTGGCAGATTGTAAGACGCTACGCTCTTTTAATGTTCTTTGTCGATGTACGTTTCAAAACTTGTCATGAGTTAAACTTGTGGCCCGCGTTAGCCCGTGAACTGTACTAGTACGTACGCTGTTGATTTTGGGTAAAGCCGAGTGGAGCTTCTTCACTCGCGAGACCGACGACGGTTGTGCACGGTCCAACCACTTGCCTGTCAGATCCGCCGCTGGTTCTGTACAGCTGGTGCGACGCCGTGGACGACCTCTGATGGTTGTGGTGGGGTTGTGTCTTGCGGGCAGCGAACCTTCCCCCAAGGCGCCGGAACTCGTCAGACTCAGGGTGCTCTGCCGCGAACCGCGCCTTCTTACGTAGGAGCTGCACCGTCAGCGAATACGTCACGACCATAATGACCATGGGCACGTAGAACGCGACAAGCGACCCGAAGACAAAGAAGGCGCGGTTGTTGATGACGCACGTCCGTGGCTCTGGCATTATGTTCCGCGGGTTGTGCACACCTGTTGGTAAATTAGGCGCCTGCCATTAGCGCGGTCTCATGTCTTGACAGTGTTTCCTGTCGTGCTATATTGCAATCCCTTATGTTTTGCCCCGAACGTTAAAAGAAATAGTTTTTGAGTTACATTTTCCGACTGGCATTGATGTAATCTTAAGACCAGATAGAACAAAAATTGTTGTCATTACAGCAACAGGGGAAAAAAAATTTTTTTTTTTTTTTCAAGCAATCCTACACGGTCGACCATTAAGACGCGTCCTAGTTCGTCAGTAAGCTGAAGAGTCGCTGAACACGGCCGTAGGATCTGCCAGATGCTGAGGACATTTTCGACGCGCGATCTATCTGATTTCTCAGCATGCATTGTCATACTAAATAATCCTACGTTGGCCTGTTTCGTCATTTGAGAGTGCTTCGTCATGTCTACTCACCTAGCACCGTGATGGAGCTGGACACCAGCATGGAAAGCAGCCACACCAGCGCGATCTTGAAGCCGACGAGTCTCTTCGTAGAGTAGGAGTGTCGGGTCTTCAGGGGGTTGCGGATTCCGAGGTACCGACCAAGGCTAATGAAACACATGTGCATAATGCTTGCTGAACATGCCAGGACGTCACATGTGACGTACACATTGCACCACACAACCCCGAACGGCCAGTACCCTGCGTCACATAGTGGAACACACACACAGTAAGGCATGGCGTGCGATCTTGTAACCAGAGAAGGAACGTAGCCGATGGAGGGGTTATCACGACTAGGCGTCGCCCATCCTCGACGCATTACCCAGAATTCAAAGCACCAAGACCTTTGCTTGTACGCGGGGAGACATATATATATACAGTGTCGATCTAAACGCGGTTAATTACCTTGGAGATGCAGACGCCCGGGGGTAGGAGAGACATACGAAGAACATCGAGCTACAAACAAATGTCATTTGGCAGCAGGCACTCCCCTGGGCACGAGGGGATTCTGATTACAGTCAGACGTAAACACCAAAGCGGATAGTTTCGTGTACTTTTATGTGGGAGATGTCTGGTTTGAATCTCGATTGGTGACAAGCTGTGGTTGGCCACGATCGACTTCTTCAAAATCCTTACGCGCTAGTCATGAAACCGACAGCAAAGTCCGTATTGATGGAGTTTCGTCTGATGCATTTGGTGTTCAGAATGGTGTGAGACAGTGAGATGCTTTTCAGCTAAAAGTACGCCGAGATAAGAGGGAGGGACTGGATTAAACATAAATATCATAAAGAAGAAGGAGAACAATACGAGCTCTGTTAGATGCTAGTAAGGAAGTTGATATTGAAGTAAGGAGTGAGGAAACTCACCGGACTACAGGCCAAAAAAATTTTGTCAGAGGAGCTGTTGGTGTCATTGGAAACGCGACGAAGTCAAGAGGAGATTAAGTGGAGACTTGCTATTGTGCGGTTCAGAAACGTTTGTCTTCCCGCCTGCTATCTAACAACGCAAAGATTAAAATATTTAAAACTATAATTTGTCCCCCCCCCCGCGTTCTTTTTTGTTTTCCTGTGAAATTCGGTGTCACGTAAAGCGAAGATCACACAGATTGAAGGTGCTTGTTGAGAGAGAGAGAGGGAGTATGTGGATGCTGGAGGGATGTTAACCACAGCTCGCCACTGGACCCTGCACTGAGCCAGATGATTCCAATCCTCGTAAGGGAGTTGCACCCTGCCTCCTCTGATGCGTCTCGTGTTGCCCCCTGGATGCACTGGGACGAATTACCCTTGTGCCTCAGGACCAGAGGGGCGGGGAGAGGACCTCCCTCGAGTCAGACATAATCACATTAACGGTGCTTGGATTGTACTAACGCTGTTTCTAATTAGCACGGACGGACGGGGGTGGGGGGTAACATTTCCGACCCTTACCGCCCCCCCCCACACCCTCAGCTGGTATTGATAATTGGGCTCTCCCGTTGTGTGGAACACAGACAGTTAAATCATGTTACCAGTCTCAGTCTAATGGGAATAAAATTATATAAACTGAACCACTAGTAACAGTGAACCAGATTCCTCGCTTGTTTAGGGAATTCGCTGAAAGACGTAAACCAAACGTACCCAATTACTGGTTTTTCATGCATTTTCCAACCTAAAAGAGGTTACTCTGTTCTTTCATATCATTGGAATTCCCTGACAGTTGTTTAAAATTTATTGGCCAGCTGCTAATGACTTAAACATGTACAGTTCGCCAGCGGGAAATATTATTTGCTTGTATCCGACTAGTTCCTTCTGATCGCCCGAGACAGGGAATGTATCGGTGATGTCCGGGTGTCAGGCAGGCGCGCGTTCACTCTTCGAAAGGCTTTCCCCCTGTTCTTCACTTGTCTTCCGAAATGGCGGAGCTTTGTTCCGACTTGCCTGACATATTTCACGGCCCGCGGTGCAGAACGGCGTTCCTGGAGCGGTCGTTAGGTTACTTAACCTTGTAATTGCGCCGTTTGTTAGACCTGCGTGGTCCATAACTCTCGCTGGCGCGAATCGGGTCTTTCGTAAACAAGCTGGTGTTGTGTGTGCTTTAACTGGCGTGAAACATTTTGTGGACTTCCGCTCGGAAGTCAGACGTCCCTGCCCTTCAACAAGCAACTTCAACGCCGATGTAGCTGTAAGCTCGTTTTCTCTCTACTGATAATTCTGTCTCAGGTCGGGCCCCACACTCCCATTGTTTGTGTACACGTGTCAGATAGAGAAAGGTGACGCGAGGGAAGTGTTCGCCTCCTGATCGCGGCAGGACGAGCACGTGCTCGGCGGTTGGGCGAACATGGCCGCTGTATCGGCCGAGCGAGACTCGAACCGAATGCATGTCTGGCTGCTTGAGATAACCCGCTCGGTATGAACTGAGGTAATGATAGGAAGAAGAAGTTTGGATGATTGAACTTCGCGGTGGGGTTGATACACTTGCAGCCATTTTTGTTTTAATTAGCTGACTCGGTGGGAACATGAGGCGCTAGTTGGCCACAGTCTGCGCTAGTGTCTGGTGATCGAGTTATTGTATTATGTATGGCGTAGAATCTGTGTTGTCATTTTTAGTTTTGCATAAAAATTGTTATTGTCAGTTATTAATACCGGTAACATCTGTAGCAATTTATTTGCTCTGTAAATGTTTACACTTTAAGCCTTAGTTACGTCTGCAAGCGTTATGAGAGATCACGTTTGCCATGAAGATGGAAGCAGCAGGTCCCTCCGAAACGTTGGTAACCACGCGTCTTGGCACTGAAGGCCACAATTTACCGTCTGTCTGTTCATGTCAGTCTGAATAAAACTACGTGGATTCGTCTGTCCAGGTAGTTTCTTGTTGGAAGTAAAAGAGATCTCCAAATAACCTCAGGGTAAGAGACTCAGTGCGTGGGTCATCGAATGTGTCCCGCGTTTGACTTCGGAGCTTTCCGAAACTCTCAACCCCCGCCCCATGGAGAAGGTGAAGCCCGGGCGATCAACGCGAATGACCTTGACAGGGCGGCGTTATCAATTATCGTCTCGGCAAGGATGCAGGAAGCCGCGACGGTTCTCGAAGCAAGTGCAATAACATGCAGGCCCGCCATCTGATCAGGAAAACGCCAAACGCATGCCCGAAGTTTGTGGCTGGTTTTTTTTTATTATTATTATTATTATTATGAAATGCTGTGTAACTACTACAAACTGTAATGGAACTCTCGTGAAGTCAATTTGCGATCTAATTTGTTCCGTTTCGCGTACCTGGAAGCCGCCTCTTCAAATTAGCTAACATCATTACACCGACGCGTGTGTGTGGGATGGGAACATGATCACGTCGGTCGGCCTCCCGGAGTGGATTCACTAACGAAATTGCGAGCGGGAAATGAGGGTTTCCGTTTGTTTTTTTTTCGGTTGTACGTTAATAGTATGTAGAACTTTTCTTATTTTTATAGGATCGCGTGTCTGGCATTTTTGAATGAGACATTTGTGTTTCACATCTCAGTGTAAATGTTATCAACATTGCTTGTGCCCCACGCAATGAGATTAAGGGAGTTGGATCACGCTAAGTAAAACAGTTCGGCGCTTAGCATCTAATTGTAGGTTCGTCGAAGCACCGCGTGCTGTGTGGCCGTCCGAATTATTTTAATGACCGCCGTCTGCTGCTGGGTAAGACGTCACACGACCGCTAATGACACTTGGCGTCGTCATATCACTGTTCCGATGCTGCCACGTGCCCATCGCTGCGACCGCCATTACGAATAGTCGACTCTTAGTTCTGTATATCGACCTGGTGGCGTTCTTTGCAAGAATAAGCACGTAGTTCCTGCTGCAATGTTGTTATGTGTTTTACAGTTTAAACAGGTCGTTCGTTTTCAGGGTAGGATTGTATAGTCCAAGTAATTCTCACTCTGGAGACCCAGGTTCGCTGTTCAGGGCTGTTCACGTGGGATTTGTGGTGGCACAGGGACAGGATTCTCCCCGAGTCCTTCGATTTTCGCCTGTCAGTATAATTCCACCTCTGATCCATATTCACTCGTGTATCACCTGGGGAATGGACAGTGGGGCCGGG